TTTGAGACCCGCTTGGGCAGCAAGACCTCATCTCTACAATAAATAAAAAAAAATCAGCTGGGCGTGTAGCGCATGCCTGTAATTCCGGCTACTTGGAAGGCTGAGGCGGAAGGATCACCGGAGCCCAGCAGGTTGAGGCTGCGGTGGCCGGGAGTGGCCACTGCACTCCAGTCTGGGCGACAGTGAGACTCCAACTCAAAAAAAAAAAAAAAAAAAATTTGCATAACTTGTATTAAAAACAGCAATGTATAAATGGATTAAACTTTTTTTCTGAGTAACAAGTAACTTTTCTATTGTACTCATTGACAGATTTAGCAGACATACACTCATTCATTTATTCATATCAGAGTCTGGGGTACATTTACATAAACACAAATATTCTGAAAGTATTGACACTGGTCTCTAATAAGTTTGCCTTTAAGATGACCTTTAAACCGGGCTCGGTGGCTCAGCCTGTAATCCCACGCCTTTGGGAGGCTGAGGTGAGTGGATTGCCTGAGCCCATGGGTTCGAGACCCGCCTGGGCAGCAAGACCTCATCTCTACAATAAATCAAAAAATCAGTCGGGCGTGGTAGCGCATGCCTGTAATTCCAGCTACTCGGAAGGCTGAGGTGGAAGGATCGCCAGAACCCAGCAGGTCGAGGCTGCGGTGGCCGGGAGCGGCCACTGCACTCCAGTCTGGGCGACAGAGTGAGACTCCAACTCAAAAAAAAAAAAAAAGAAAAAAAGATGACCTTTATAAAATTCCTTGAAAATTATTAAAATAGAGTATATGGTGTGCTGCAGTTTTATGTCTGAAATATTCATTTTTTAAAAGTCTATTAAACCTGAAAACCTATTCTTTTTCTTTTTTTTCCTTTAAGTGGGAGTCTCACTTTGTAGTCCAGGCTGGAGTACAATGACATGCTCACAGCTACTGCAGCCTCGACCTGCTGGGCTCAAGCGATCCTTCCTCCTCAGTCTTCCAAGTAGCTGGAACCACAGGCACACGCCACCGTGCTTGGCTAATTTTTTGATTTATTGTAGAGATGAGGTCTTACCAAAGTGTCCAGGCTGGTCTTGAATCTCTGGGATTAGGCAATCCTCTTGCCTCAGCCTCCCAAAGTGCTGAGATTATAGGCGTGAGCCACCGTGCCCAGCTGAAAACCTATTCTTCTTATGTCATACAGGCAAGACAAATTTTTCTTTCTCCTTAAAAAAAAAAATTCTTGGCATGTAAAGCTTGGGAATATTAGTAGGAGAGCTGGGAGACTACATGAAAGAACTATATGGGGAAGAGAATCCAATAGAATGAAAAATCACTTATTTAAATCATATTTACATACAAATAGATTTTGTACTTACTAGATCTAAATCATATTTACATACAAATAATTGTTGTACGAAGATTATGTAACACGTACTTAATAGTGCACAACAGGAAATAAGAATGTGAACCCCCACTGATGTGGGTTCAAAACATAGCATACAAGGTCTGACAGTTAAGTTCACTAACTTGCCCATTGTGTGCTTACGTTGGCAGTACTGTACAGACAACTCGGTAAGGTTTCATGACCTTGGTATACCAGTGTCTCACAACTGTGTTTGTGTCAACATGGTGGTGTCTTGCTGAGTGGCATTCATTATTGTTGCATGTTTTTGTGCCATCTTGAAAATGTCAGAGCTTGAATGAAAGCAATGAACAAACATTAAATTTCTTGTTAAACTTGGCAAGAGTAGAAGTGAAATCAGGGACATGTTAGTCCAAGTTTATGGGGATAATGTCATAAAGAAAAAACGGCAATGTATAAATGGATTAAACTTTTTTTCTGAGGAGATAGAAAGTGTCACTGACAAAGAGAGGTCAGAACGGCCAGTAGTGAGCAAAACTGACAAAAACACTGCAAAAATTCACTGAATTGTGCATCAATATGCGAGAAGCATAGCAGACCAAATAAACATCGACAAACAGGAACAAACTTGACTGAAAATCTTGGCATGAGAAAGGTGTGTGCAAAAATGGTCCCAAAGGAGCTCTTGTATCCCGACAATGCACCAGCTTATCTGTAAGGAAGTTTTTAGCCTGTAAACAACTGTATTGGAATAGCCTCCCTACTCACCTGATCTGGCCCCCCATGACTTTCTTCTTTACCTGAAGATAACGGAAATATTGAAAGGAAGATGTTTTGATGACATTCAGGACATCAAGGGTAATACAATGACAGCGCTGATGGTCATTCCAGAAAAGAGTTCCAAAACTGTTCTGACAGGTAGACAAGGCACTTGTGTCATTGGATCACTTCCTAAGGGGAGTACTTTAAAGGTGACGGTGGTGATATTCAGCAGTGAGGTATGTAGTACTTTTTCGAGTTCATGAAGTTAATTGTCAGAATTTGTATTTAGAGCACCCTAGAGCAACATCTTAGAGGAATTAATAGTCACCAAGTTCTCCAGACAGACACTAGCTGACATACTGCTTTGATAATTCTCATGGTATCATTCAGAAAAAAATTAAATACATGTAATATTACATTAGAACATTGAAAGTAAACATATATGCAAATTATATTTTCCAGTGATGTTAAAATCATTATGAAGAAATAAGCTTAAAAAATTTCTTATGACCGGGCTTGGTGGCTCAGCCTGTAATCCTGTGCCTTTGGGAGGCTGAGGTGAGTGGATTGCCTTGAGCCCACGGGTTCGAGACCCACTTGGGCAGTAAGACCTCATCTCTACAATAAATCAAAAAATCAGCCGGGCGTGGTGGCGCATGTCTGTAATTCTGGCTATTTGGAAGGCTGAGGCGGAAGGATCGCCGGAGCCCAGCAGGTCGAGACTGCGGTGGCCGAGAGTGGCCACTGCACTCCAGTCTGGGTGATAGAGTGAGACTCCAACTCAAAAAAAAATAAAGAAAATTTCTTATGGAATTCCAAACTACTTTTCATTGCATCCTCGACTTTTGCCCTGCCCTTTTCCATTTTTTTGAGTTGGGGTCTCACTGTCACTCACCACTGCAGTACAATGGCACGATCATGGCTTACCATAGCCTCAACCTCCTGGGCTCAGGTGATCATTCTGCCTCAGGTTTCCAAGTAGCCAGGACTACAGGCACTACCACCACCACTGGCTTTTTTTTTTCTCTTTTTTTGTAGAGACGAGGTTGGTCTTGAACTCCTAGACTAAAGCAGTCCTCCTGCCTTGGTCTCCCAAAGTGTTGGGATTACAGGTGTGAACCACCACACTCAGCCTCAATTATTTTTTAAATCTTTGGTCCCATAATTTTATTTATGTCGACGAGTAGGCCGAGTGGGCAACAGTATGAATCTCACCTCAAAGATTAGCACTAGAGTAAGAAAAAGCACTGGGCCCGGAGTCAGAATATCCAGGTTATAATCCTGAATCTTTCATCCACTAGCTTTTTGACACTAAAGGAGTCCAGTAAGTTCTTTAGATTTAAATTGTTCTTGTTTATAAAGTTAAGAATAAGAGAAAAGTGGACCAGAGAATTCGTAGAGTTCCTTCCATTCCAATTTCTACCAGTCTTTCTTTTCTAAGTGGAATCATCTCCAACACAAAGCTATACTGGGGTGTCAGACATACTATGACTGACCCTCTGTTTTGCTGCTTTTTGATCCGATGAGAGAAGGCAACCTGCAGACGAATCAACATAACTGGGAGGAGAAAATGAAACTGGCCGAATGACAAATGGTTGAGAGATTCCAAGGAATGATATACCTCTTTTACATGCCCCAACACAAAGATGAAGCAGACTGGGGAGGGGGTCAGTTCACTGAACTAGAAGGAGCTGACTATGTATGCAGAAAATTCAAAAGTTGTAGGTCTTTATGGTCGTAACTGCATACATATATGTTCACTTTTCCAATCTAGGTATTGTGGCTAGAAGGCTTGTTAAATTTAAATCAGTTCCTCGCTAGAGGCTTAATAATAGTCAAGATCCTTTTTTTATTTTAAAGATGTGAGGTACAGTTCAGGGTAGGTATACAAATGGTCATTATGTAGGTAAAGTTTAGACCTCCCTTTGGTCCCTACTTCACCTGGTTTGACATCAGGTATGCTTAAATAGTCAAGATTCTACACAGAATTGTAATACACTGATACAGGATTACAGAAAACATTTACTATATATTGTTACCTTTAAGTAAAGTAACTTGTATAATTTTTAGAGTAGTTTCACACACTTTTCATCTCAGTATCACAACTCTAAAAGGTAGAGGGGGCAGGTATAACAGCTCCAGATTATAGACTAGAATCTAAGAGACTCAAAAGATTAAGGAACAGCTTTATGCTTTTAATTTTAATTTTTTTTTTTTTTTGAGTCAGGGTCTCACTCTGTTGTCTAGGGTGGAGTACAGTGGCATGATCACAGCTCACCACAGCCAGAACCTCCTGGACTCAGATGATCCTTCGCCTCATCCCCCAAAGTAGCTGTGACTACAGGTATGTATCAGCATGCCTAGCTAATTTTTTGATTTTCCATAGAGAAAAGGTCTTGCTATGTTTCCCAGGCTGGTCTCAAACACCTGGGCTCACGATCCTCCCACCTGAGCCTCCCAAAGTGCTGGGATTACAGGCATGAGCCACCACACCAGGACCAGTGCTCTTTTCAAATGTCACCTGGCCACTGCACGCCAGCCTGGGTGACAGTGAGACTCCAACTAAAAAAAAAGTAATTGTATCAGAATTCCAAAAACATCAGCATTCCAAAAATGTCAGAACAATTCTAAAGTCAATTATCATCATCTGTTTTCCTTTGAACATTGCCTTTTTTTCCTAAAAGGAAATTTTCTTTCTTGGTTTTTAAAGCAAAGAGAGTTGACAAATGGGATTTTAAAAGTATGGATTATATCACATTTCATGACTGTTCTTTTTTCTTGTTTCAGATTCATATTTTTAAGAATTTGAGACCCAAATTTTTCCATTTAAGCTATATAAAATTACCTTTTCTACTTAGGTAATTTTGCCTTTTTAAAAATTAAAATAAATATTTTGTCTACATGCATACTGCTAAGAACATTGCATAGGCTGACTTTATTACAATAGGTAATCAGTTTAGACAAGTATTTATATATGAAGGTGTTTAAACATCTTATATAAAATATCTTTAATTTGTACAGATATGGCATTACTTAAATAACTTTTCAACAGATAACAGGAATGCCACTTCAAACTCCTGATCAGAGAATCTGCTTACAGACGCACGAGCATTTTTCCTGATTTGTAGTCTCTTTTCTGCAGACATGGAAAGAATATAAGCCATTGTCTCCGCATAGCCTTCTTCACTCTCAGCCAGAAATCCGGTTACATCGCCTTCGTGAGGAACAACGATGTCGAGCTTCGGGCCCCCTGAATTGTGTGCAAGGATCACTGTGCCAGCTGCCATGCACTCCACAACGCCTGAGAACGAAACAAAAAACACGCAGGCTTTTAAGTTTTGCGTGTGTTCATAAGAACAGAGATGAGCAGAAACCTTCAAGTATTTGGAGACTCCTGCGAAATTTAGTCAAATGTCTGCATGTCTATGAATTTGCTCATTTAACCTCCAGAGTGCGAAATAAAATAATGTCAAGTTTTTTAGTTTCCAAAGCTTCACAGTGAGGCTGCTTCATTCTTACTTAAAGCAAACAAGCAGATGGAAGAAGAGTTTACAAAAAATAAATACACTGCAGATAACAAAACAAAGTAGAAGACTACAGAATGTCAGTGAAACAGGGGAATATTAACAGGTATTAGGAAAGATAAAAGGAATAAAAAGATACCAAAAGAAAAATTTTAAGAGTTCAAATTACATTATTAGTAGAGAAAAGAAAAAAAGAAAAAAAACCACCTTAGTGAAGCATGCTATGGCTGGCGCTTGTGTTATTATCCACATTTCTGGCCTATTTCAGACCCCTGTGTGCCCCTAAGCAGTGTTGAACTGCAAGTTGTGGTCAGTTTCTGCCAGATGACATGGGTGAAGGTATAACTTCCTCGAGCTAGCCTTTCTTAGCTGTACTCCCAGGAGAATTAAATCTTTCAGAGAATGACTTAAGAAACTGCTACCCCAATTTTCCTTATATAGAATATAAAGAAAAGGGTGAGGTGTAGCGCTGATATCATCCTAGATGCACAAAGAGGTTTAATCACTCTGAATGTGTTTTTACAGTGGCAGAATTCCTGCAGAATAGACTTCAGCAGCTCATGCTGTATTCTGCTTGAGGCAGGAGGGCATTCCTTTGTACTCTCTCAGAGACCTCCTCTAATCAATTTTACCCTCTCTCACTCTATTGGCCCCCTTTTCTTTATCTTAAATAAAAAATTTTCAAATTGTATGCTAGTTTATATTTATTTATTTATTTTTTAGAGACAGGGACTTGCTCTGTCGCCCAGACTAAGGTGTAGTTGCATGATCACAGCTCATGGTAGCCTCAAACTCCTGGCTCAAGTGATCCTCCTGCCCCAGCCTCCTAAGTAGATGGGACTACAGGTGTGCCTCACATCCAGTTTCTACTGACCCTTTCGTATCAGCATTGAAGCTAGCATCCACATGCCCCTCCTCAGATCCCCAACCCCTTCACAGATAAACTACTGCAAGTGTGACCTGCACTCACCAACGCTACTTGCTCACATCTTAAAACTCAACCTCTGACTTTTGGCTCATAGTCTGACTTTTGCTTCCACTTCTCCCTTGAAGCTGCTCTTGCCCAGGTCACCAATGGCTGCCTTGCCTTCCCCAGCATCTGGGCAGCCTCGATCTGTGCTCTTTCCCTTCTTCCCAAAACACTCTTCCTTGGTTCCAAGACACTGCACTGGCCAGTTCCCTCTCCCTCTATTTCTTCCTGGCTCTTTGCTGGTTCCTCATCTATCATTTCTCAACCATTTCTGTTCCCTGCATTTGGTACTAAGAGCCTCTTCTTGCTCTGCACACCTTCCCCAGGCAATCTTATCCACATCCATGGGGGTTTTTATAACAACCTGGACAAGGCCAACTCTTCAACTGTATTTTCAGATCGGGTCCCTCTCCTCAACTTCGGACATATATATGACCACCTCCTGACACATGCACGCATATGTCCCACAGATGACTCAAACCCCAGAGGTTCCACACTTGGTTCACCAACTGCCTCTGCTCTTGGGGAAAGCCAATACCACTCACACAGTTGCCCAACCCCCAAACTCTAGGCAGTCATCACGGCCTCCATTTCCTGCTTCATTTGCAGTCCTGTTCAATACTATCTAGATTCTCCGTCAAGCATGTTCACCTACCAAGTTTAGACCGCTAGTACCTCTCACCTGGGTTGCTGCGGCAGCCCAACTTATCCTGTCTTTCCAGCCTTGCTCTCCCTGCTCCTCATCCATCCACTCCCCACACAGCAGCCAGGGTGGACTTTTGGAAACAGAAGCTTTTAGATGCAAAACTTAAGTCCTTCTATGCTTTCCCACATGCTTAGCCTAGCTTAGATCACCTCTCCCATTGTCTTGCCTTTCCTCCTTCAGCCTCTGGTCATGTTGAATATGTCTGCTGACATTCCTATTGTCACTCCAGTCACAGTGCTGTTCCCACTGCTGGAAACTCTCCCCTCTTGCCTGGCTACCTTCTAATTATTGTTCAGGTCCCAGCTTGAGTGTGACCTCACTTCCTTGGACAACTGTTCCCCACCCCCTCAAGTCTAGCGTTTCTCTTTGGTGCTTTCACATCACCCTGCACTACCCTAGTACAGCACTTGGCATACTGCACAGCACATGCCTATGCGGGAAGCCTTGGGTATGTCCTGTCTCTGTCATACTGTAGCACCCACTTGAGTGCCTGGCACAAGGTGAATGCTCAGTAAGTTTCTGTGGAAGGAAGCACAGGATATCAGATCCCATGAAGAAGACGGAATCAACAAGTGCTTACTGAGCATCTGGGCTTAGTACTGTGCTACTACCTAGGGATAAAAAAGCATAAGAGAAACTGTAGTCTTAAAACAGGAAACTTCACTCTTATGTTTTCCTGTTTTCCCCTAACTGCTAGCAAAGTGAGACATACATCCTGACCCAAACTCAACACAAAGTGGTATGTGTGCTTAATGGAAGTCAGAATAGAGAAAGCAATGTGCTAGAATAAACAGGAAAGGCTAAAGGGCAAGGAGATTTAAGTTGAACACTTACAATGGGATTTGGCACAAAGAGAAGCGGCCATTCTAATAAAAGACTAAAAGAATGACTGTTAGAAGCCCACATGGAGACAGTGGTTCTCAGCTTTACAACAGAGTTGCCCAAGCAGCTTTACCAAAACACATCTACCTGGACCCTGACCAGAGATTCTGATTTGGTCATTCAGTAGGATTACGGTAGGGCCCAGGAATCTGGACCAGTATGTAAATGGGGTAAGATGAAGAGAAAAAACATGGCAGCTAAGAGCAGGGGCTATCTGGGTTAGAATCTGAGCTCTCCCACTTACTGTGCAATTGACCTTGAGTGATTTCTAAACTTTCTGTGCAGGAGTTGTCTTATCTATAAAATGGGAATAATAGCTGGGCGCAGTGGCTCCAGCCTGTAATCCCAGCACTTTGGGGAGGCAGAGGTGAGAGGATTGCCTAAGCCCAGAGGTTCAAGACCAGCCTGGGCAACTTGGTGAGGCCTCGTCTCTACAATAAACAAAAAAATTAGCTGGCTGTGGTAGCACCCACCTGTAGTTCCAGCTACTTGGAAGGAAGGCTGAGACAGAAGGATCGCCTGAGCTCAGCAGGTCAAGGATGCAGTGGCCATGAGCAGTGTGCCACCGCACTCCAGCCTGGGTGACAGAGTGAGACTCCGATTCACACACACAAAAAAAGGAAGAATAATATCTATTGAATAGGGTTTTAGAGAGGATTAAATTAGCTAATACTTGTAAAAATCTCAACACAGTGACCTGCACATAATAAGTGGTCAATAAATATTAGTGGCTATTATTAACCACTGTCTTACAGGGTCTCAAATGAGGAAAGCATACTTGATGGGTTAAGAGAAGAAGAGAATCAGGACTTGACGCAGACTTCAGAGTATTATAATCTTATCAACCTAAAATGTACATTATATGGCAGCAAACTCACCAATCCCAAAATGCTCATTCCACATGGTATGCAGACCAATTGTTGCTTCGGATAAGTACTTCTTTAATTCATCAAATGGGATGTTTATTTTAAATTCCACATCTTCTTGAACTCCTAAATCTTCAGTCAGCCTTCTCAGTTGGTTTACCCTAAGTTCATCATCTTTGTTACGACAACCTCCAATGAGGACAAGTTTAGGAGAAGGTGGTGACTCAGCCACCTTCTTACGGAGCAATTTAGCGAAGGCTCTGATCTGCAAAGGATGATTCTTTTCAGGCCTAAACTGGCCAATAGAAACCAGCAAATGTCCTGAGGTCTTCTTTTTCTCATGTAAGGGAATGTCCAGAAATGTCTGTACATCACAAGGTGGATAAACAATGTTAGTGCAATTCCCAACCTTCCACAGTGAGAGGATATGGTTTAGTGTCCAAGAAGAATTGACCATGACTACATCACTGCAAGAACCAACAAGTCCATAGATAAAAGCAAATAAGTAGTAGTAGATGAGCTTTACTTTGCTGAGAAAAGGATTCCTGGTAATGAAGGCTGCATTATTGAATCCAACATTTTGATTCTTCACTACAGAGAGCATGTCAGTGCTAATAGTGGGATAATGAACATAGCTTCCAACTCGGCAACCCCCTATATACTTAAACAGAGGAAGTGTGAAAGCATATCCCATTGAATCGATGTAAACATCAGGAACACACTGCATCAGAGCTTCCCATCCAAGAAAGATGGATCCTAGACTTTGGCCCAGAAGTGTAAAGTGAGGATAAAGAGAATCTTCCACAAGGTAGCGCTTCCTTAAGAAAACAAACTGCACTGGGCAAATTAATCTGATGTTAAATCTTCTGAAAGCACCTTCTAGTATCTGTTGACCGCTGATATTAACATCGCCAGTATAAACCACATAAACTGCTTCGGGATACCTAAATAGGACATAATGGTTAAGAATGTCATTGATTCAGGTTAAAAATCAAGCAAAAAGTTGTAGATAATTATTACCTCACAATGATTAAGAAGCATATTTTTATACCTTTTAGAAGTGTTTTCCACTGTTTTTCATTTATTGATTATAACTCCCGACTTCATCCTTTCCTGAGTCTTGCACTGCCCTACAATAAAATGTTAGTCCTCCAAATGATACCATATCGTCTAATTCTTTGCTTTCTTCCACTGAGTTTTTCACATAGAGCAGGCAGCAACAAAAATTGCTGATTTAAAATGAGACATTTTCATTTTTCAGAAATATTCAAAAATTTTGACAACGTTCAGTAAAATATCATTCTGAAAGGGCAAAACCCAAACTGGAGTTTTTCTGGTCTCCTTGAGCTCATACACAACAATGATCCTTTTCTAGAACACCCCAGGCAAGTCACAAGACACTAAGAATAACATCTCCCCAAAATTTTTCTCTCAACTACTGGCCCTACTCATCTCATCTATGTGGCTGACCCACCCATCCAGCTACCAGCCCACCTTTATTCTATGAGTTCGTGACTGACCCACCCATCCAACTGCAGTCAGAGATATGGGAAACAGACCCCATCACCATGGAAACCTACCCCCAACAAAGGGAAGCTTTTTAAAGCCCTCAACCTCAAGCATTTGCCACCACTTCAAGCGTCTGGCCCCTTCTATCCCTTGAGAGTGAATCCACTCTTTTCTGATCTACTTTCTTCCTTTCTTTTTTTTTTTGAGTTGGAGTCTCATTCTTGTCAACCAGTCTCATTCTTGTCGACCAGGCTGGAGTACAGTGGTACGCTTACAGTCACCGCAGCCTTGACCTGCTGGGCTTAGGCAATCCTTCCACCTCAGCCTTCCAAGTAGCTGGAACTAAAGACACATGCCACCATGCCTGACTAGTTTTTGTGATTTATTGTAGAGACAAGGTCTCACCAAGTTGCCCGGGCTGGTCTCGAACCCCCGGGCTCAAGCAATCCTCTTGCCTTGGCCTCCCAAAGTGCTAGGATTATAGGCTGAGTCACCACGCCCAGCTGTTTCTGATCTACTTTCTAAATTATCTTTTTTCTAATCTCATTTCTGTGCAATTCTTTGCATCTTTACTGCGACACCAGCCCGTTGACCTAACATTTTGATGGCCTGTATAGGGAGATCTGCAGAGTTCCCTCCACGCTCTCTCTCTCTCTCTCTCCTCTTTACCATCTCAAGTCTCTCTCTGTGGACTGTATTGGAACTCAGAGATAACTGATGGTTCTGACTGGGGCTGCTCTCTAGTAAACCTGAAGGTCCCAGGAAAAGCTGACAGACCACTAGAGCCTGTTAGGTTGAGAGGCCAGAGCCTGCTCTTACCTCCTCATCTCCTTTCTAATTCAAGTCTTTCCATGGACTGTGCTGGATTTTGGAAGCCAACTGATGGCCCTTTGCCAGGACTTCACTCTGGAAAGGCTAGAAGGCCCCTGATCGACTGATATGATGAGAGACGAGGTCCTTGGCTCTCTTTCTCTCTCTCTCCCTGTCTCTCTGCTCACCTTGCCTTCCTCCTTCACTGCCTGCCAGCAAACTACATTGACTGGACCCTCCCTGTTACCTTGGCTTTATCTGATACAACATTTCAATACTGATGAGTCCATATATTACCTTCTCCCCTTATTTTTTTTTTTTTTTTGAGTTGGAGTCTCACTCTGTCACCCAGACTGGAGTGCAGTGGCCGCTCCCGGCCACCGCAGCCTCGACCTGCTGGGCTCCGGCGATCCTTCCGCCTCAGCCTTCCGAGTAGCCGGAATTACAGGCACGTGCTACCACGCCCGGCTAATTTTTTGATTTTATTGTAGAGATGAGATCTCGCCTGCCCAGGCAGGTCTCGAACCCGTGGGCTCAGGCAATCCACTCACCTCAGCCTCCCAAAGGCGCAGGATTACAAGCTGAGCCACCGAGCCCGGCTACCTTATCCCTTATTAAAAGGTCTAGGAACAAATTTGAAAAGACACTTTCTTCGTTCAGAAGCTTTCTCTCGCTGGGGCTGCGGGCCCACCACCCCCTCCACCCCGAAATCTGGGTACTAAGTCTTCCAAACACGCATGGGAGCAGTCTTGCCGCTGGCAGAAAGACTGCCTCCAATGGGTTGAAGGGCTCAAGAGGACACCCCTTTCTTACACGATACCCACACATTCAGGGTGATTCCACTAATTCTCTTTTGGGATGCCAACTGAGAATGTGGATGGGTTTCTCTTTTTCCAGTTGTATGAGACCATTCTCAGGACCAATTCCTTTTTTCTCTTTAGAATTCCTCATGGGGAATCGTCACTATGGGGTGGCCAAGGGCCCCCCATTGAAATGCAATTCTAAAAGGTCTCAAGACTCTCTACTAGAGAAAGATATCTGCCCTAAGCATATCATTTTTTCCCCCTCAATACCAGCCAGGTGACCAGGAGGTGGGGCCCAAGGCAGGTCTCTTGCCTCTAATACTCTCCTTCAACCTGACCTCTATTGCTGCCACAAGGGCAAGTAGTCTGAGGTTCCTTCTAAACAAGCTTTTCTAAAAATGGTGCCGCCTAGACCCTTGTTCTTCCTGTGGCATACTCCTAACTCCTTCTTTAATTACTTTATCTCCTTCCTGCTCTCCTTCTGACATCTCTGATCCAGCCGATCTAACTCGCCCTTTCTCTCAAACACAATTCCTACCCTCCTACACTCATTTGGCCCCTCAGCCTTCTCGCCCTCCACTTTTTCTTTACCCACCAGAGGGAAGGCCTACACCAACTGCAGAAGCAATCAACCCTAGCCTCCTTTCCCCTTCTCTGCTGCCTTCAACCCCTCACCTGTCCATAGCCCTTCTGGGAAGCCCTTTCAGGCTTCCACCCAAAGCTTACCAGTTTCCCCTCAGGGAGGTGGCCAGAGCAAAAGGTATTAGAGTCCATATTCCCTTTTCTATATTAAATCTCTCAAATTAACTCTAAACGGGAACTATCAACCCTCCTGGATAGAAACAAAAGGGATCACGTGTCACTTTTATAAAAAAGCTGTTAACTCACAGGAAAACACAACCTTGTCATTCTAATCTGCTTTTCCAAACCAAACTTCCAAGTGCTCTAGTAAAATCTTACTTCCTATGACTCTACCGTGTGCTAAAACATTAGTGCTAAATAACACCAGTGTTTATTATGTCAGGCTTGCTAAAGGTTTTTTTTAGAAAAAAGTTGGGTCACTTTACTGAGCCCAGTATTTCTGTGGGATGGGCAAAATTCTGGATACTCTGTGTAGTACAATGAGGCATGAGAACTGATCACTCTCACTTAATTGTCCACACCTCACAACTATTTGTTTTCCAAAAGCCTCCTCCCAATCTCTGGAACCTCCTAGTCTGTAATTTAGTGGTTTAAAAAGGGTCTTAACAAATCTGCCTGTTCATAATTGAAAATAAGTAGGGACAAACAATTTCATATCCACGTGGTCAGTTCACTCTAAAAGGGTTCTACATCAGACCATTACAAATGGAAGTGGTCAAAAGTTTCATATGTACAGGCATTTTTAATTTATTTTTATTTTTATTTTTGAGTTGGAGTCTTAATTTATTTTTTTATTTTTGAGTTGGAGTCTCACTCTGTCGCCCAGACTGGAGTGCAGTGGCCACTCCCGGCCACCACAGCCTCTATCTGCTGGGCTCAGGCGATTCTTCCGCCTCAGCCTTCCAAGTAGCTGGAACTACAGGCGTGTGCTACCACGCCCGGCTAATTTTTATTTTTTATTTATTTATTTATTTATTTATGGTGAGAAGATATATATTTAGAATTAGCCAGCTGGACTCTGTTTAAATGATCCCAATTTTGTTGGCAACATCCAAAGCATCATAATCAGGAGCCAGTCGAACATATGCCTTCTTCTCTCCATCAGGCCTAATCAGGGTGTTGACCCTGGCAACATCAATGTCATAGAGCTTCTTCACAGCCTGTTTTATCTGGTGCTTGTTGGCTTTAACATCCACGATGAACACGAGTGTGTTGTTGTCTTCTATTTTCTTCATGGCAGACTCAGTGGTTAGGGGAAACTTGATGATGGCATAATGGTCAAGCTTGGGAGAGAGGCAAAATGGTGGTCACCTGGTCTGGGCCCTGTACAAGTATGGGCCCTCTTCTGGAAGCCAAGGCTAGGAGAGACTTGGTGCATCAGACAAGATAGCAATCATTTTATTCAGACTTTGGTCGCTTTACAGTGTCATCACCTGCATAATTTTTAATTTATTGTAGAGATGAGGTCTCACCAAGTTGCCCAGACGGGTCTCAAACCTGAGGGCTCAGGCAATCCACTCACCTCAGCCTCCCAAAGTGCTGGGATTACAGACTGAGCTATGGAGCCCGGCTGTACAGGCATTTTTTAAATCTCTCTACTTCGCAAGCAAAGTTATATCCCACGGGTTATTACATGCCCAACTCCAAAGGCTAGCATTGGAACTACAGGTACCAATCTTCTAATTACAAAAAAAAAAGAAACTTTTAAGGTTTTAACAGAAACATTGAAGAAGCAAAAGGATGCCAACATGGAGAGCAGCAGGACCAGAGGGCCAAAAACAGGTATTCCACTTGGCAATTGCCACTAGCAACAAGACTTCAGCTACCTGACAGAAACCTGGTAAGAACAAACTTGCTAAGGGGGATGGTGTCTGTTGCTACGGGTACAATCTATGAGGGGCACTTGAAGCATAGTTAACCCAAAGAGGCCTAAACCTCCAGGACCTTGTCTACTATGCAGGCCACAGAGCCACTGGGGGGCAGGTACCCCTTTTCTGGAGGGAAGGGGGAACATCTGGCTCAGGAAATGGTGGCCACTGAGGAATCCTGAAAATCTGCTGAAGTGCCTGGTACCACCAGCTTAGTACCATCACCCCAACAACCCTCAGGTGAATATTAGGGCACTGAAACCCAAACTAATTTCTTAATTAACACAGGTGCCAGTCACTTGGTCCTTCCTGGTCATCAATGTTGGACCATATAGTCTTGTCTTAATTATAAGTTACTAAAAGGTTAATTCAAATTATAGATATAAAAAGTTATCTATAAAAAGGTTAAAAAAAGAACTGTTTTTTGGAGGGGGCCTTACTGGATATTTTAAGATCCAAATCCCGAGCTATGGCCTCATTGCTAAACTTCTCTATGAGGCTACTGAGGGACCAGAACACAAGCCTCTTAATTGGTAGTCCCCAATATATAAGACCTTTAATATCCTTAAAATGACCTGACCCTTCCAAACCTCCAAAAGGAATTTTCTTCTCTATACAACAGAGTGGGGAAGGAAGAGATGGATTCAGATAGGCGTCTGCTGTCTTTGTTAGTTTTTTGTTTAAGAATAAATTTCCATCAAAAAGCAAGGTTTTTACTTTTCAAAATCTTTGGACTATCACTTTGGCTAAATGAGCAACGTTTACAATGGCCTGTAACCCTATGTTATAACATCATGCTTTTAAAACCTTTAATACCTAAACTTTTCAACATGTAAAGTTTCAGGTTCTCCAATCAGTCTTTCTGGGGTAGAAAACAAAAAGAGGCTCCCCCACACACTCCTCCTGAATGGCCTGCAAACAAGGTAAATTGTTTTGTAAACAACAACTATTGTAAAATCTAAAATGGTATCTGAGATCTCTTCCAAACTTTGCCTTTACAGGCCTCAATCACTCACAGATCTTGACAAATGTTTTTCAGTGCCAAATTGCTAACGATTTAAAATTTCCCTCCAGGCATAAGAATTGCTAATCCAACATAAGATTGATGACAGAATAACCTTTTTGTTTAAAGTATCACTAATAATTTTTGCTATAGAAAATCTATTTCTTGAAGCTATTTGGTCTTACAAATAAGTAAAGTATGTTCTTATAAATTAAATTTAGGGCATATATCTTTCTACCTAATTTCTCCAAAATTTGGAAGCTATTAATTTGTTAAGAGTATTTTTTTTGCATAAGTTCAATAAGAACTATTTTCTTTTGTAACAAAATGTGATTGAAAATACTGGTTGTAGCCGGGTTCGGTGGCTTAGTCTGTAATCCCGCACCTTTGGGAGGCTGAGGTGAGTGGATTGCCTTGAGCCCGTGTTCGAGACCTGCCTGGGCAGCGAGACCTCCTCTCTACAATAAATCAAAAATCAGCTGGGCGTGGTAGCACATGCCTGTAATTCCAGCTACTTGGAAGGCTGAGGCAGAAGGATCGCTGGGGTCCAGCAGGTCGAGGCTGCGGTGGCCGAGAGCGGCCACTGCACTCCAGTCTGGGCGACAGAGTGAGACTCCAACTCAAAAAAAAAAAAGAAAATACTGGTTGTTTTATCAAGGCTTTCTGGAATACTGTTTCAAAACAAACTGCTTTAAGGAATTAAGACTAAGATCTATAAAGCGCCAATAGAAAGCCCTTGAAAAGGCTAGCCTAGTCTATACAGGTCTATACAGCAAATCCTTGGCTAACTCAAAGGTTCCTGACACGTCTAATCTAAAGTTTCTTATGAACAGAGTCTCAACAAAGCCAATTCAAAAAAGCCTATAATGGCAAGGAATTATTCTTGCTGCACTTCATATACAAATAAGTCTAAAACCTATTTTATGAATAAGTAGGTCCTACTATAATTTACCTTTAATAAAAACGGAGAACTAAAGAGAAAATATTACTCAAAAATATAGTACACCTGTTTCAAATTCTCTTGTTTATTATTATTTCCTACAACTTAAACTACAACCTAACTACTTGTCTCCAAACTAACTGTCAAATTTTTTTGCTTCAGACTTTCTCAGTCAAACTTGGTTTCCTCTGCTTTTCAACATTTATGGTATCCTCTGTATATATTAAAAAAAAAAAAGTTCTGACTTTCCCTTCTTGGGCTCCCTCATAACTGTCTATAAATTCCCAACACAAAATCCAAAGGAACTTGGAAACAAGCTGCGGAGACATCCACATATAGACTAAGGAGTTCATTAGTACAATAGTGAAAACCGCTTGAATTCCTGTAGTGGGTGCTGAGTTCACTGGGGTAACTATTTATAAATATATCTTACCATATATCAAAGCCTTAATATGTTGTAACAGCAGTTATAACTGCCCTTATAGTATTATTAATTCTAATAGAATGCACTTTTACACAGTGCTTTGTGTACAGACACTAAAAATACTCCAACAACTCCATTGGCTACTGTGCCCTCATCTCTTCCTCTTTAGACAGGCAGGGGTATCTCTGTGCTCCAATTCAGCAGGAAGTAGCTACAGAAGACAGACCACTGTCCATGTTCCCCAGTATTAAATAAGAATATTTCAAAACAAGCAGAGGAGGGAATGAAAGGACAGAGTCCCAAATGGAGTTTCTCTAGTCTCGAGCTCATACACGACAATAAACCTTTACAGGAACCCTGGGCAAGTCACAAGACATTAATAACTTCTCCCAAGAATCTGTCTTTCAGTTATTGGCCCTGCCTTTCTCACCTATTTGACTGACCTATCCATCTAGCTACCAGTCCACCTTTGTCTATGTGCTAGTGACTGACTCACCCATCTGTCATGGCATTTTGTCCCCCAAAAAGGGAAGCTTTAAAAAGCCTTCAATCTCAAGCATTCACCGCTACGTTTCCTTCAAGCATCTGGTCCCTTCTCTCCCTTGAGAAGCAAATCCACTCTTCTCTGATTTTCTCCCTAAATAAACTATCTCGTCTAATCTAATTTCTGTGCAAAGCCTTATATCTTACCCACAGCACTAGCCCACTGACCTAACAGGTTCTTAATAAATACTCATTACAGTAAAATGCACCAAACATGTCTCCAGACAGTATCATAATGCTAAAGCATTACTCAGTGTTTTTACTGAGAAACACAAAAAGGTTTTAAGAACTAGATCTTGTGCCTGCATCACAATCAGATATGATATAATTAAAATGAAAATATCTAAAAGTATATTCTTAAGATTTTTAAAGCTTTAGTCTTCTTCTGGTTGTGTTATAATTTTTCTTCAAGCCATACAATATTTATTAAGTATCTAGTATGAGATGCTAGGTTTTGGTGATACAGAGATGAGAGAGACCTTTATTCTCAGGAGTTCAGTCCAGTGGAGAGAACAGACATCAAGGAAGAACTTAAAAAAACCTAGAATTTATTTATAAAAAATTGTGTATTTATTCTTACATGTTTAAACCTCAGTTGAGATGCTTTTTCCACTGCTCAGAACAGTTTCTGAACTTGTCAATTTTGAAGGCTTTTAGCGTTTCTGCCATTTTTAAATACATTTTGTCCACACTGGCAAATCACTTCCCTTTGAAGACTTTCGTCATCCAGGGAAACACAAAAAAAGTGCTTGGGGCAAGATGGGTTGAATAGGGAGGGTGGGCCATGAGGGTCATGCCATTTTGGGGGCCAAAAACTGCTGAACACTCAGTGCAGTGCGGACAGGTGTGTTGTCATGGTGGAAGAACCAGTCACCTGTTTGCCACAAGTTGGGATACCTCTTCCACAAATTGTAAGGTAAACTTCTCAGATAAAAACTATGGTTGACTGTTGATCCAGGGGAACTAATTCTGAGAGTTCTACAAAGGGCTTGTCCCCCAAAAGGTAATTCTGGTTTTATTTTGGTTCCATCTTGTATAAACAATTGCTAAACTGTGTGATATGCATTGATAAAGATGGCCACAGGATGCAATGAAAGCCTGAAAGATGAGAATCTAACCGCTCCTCCCTGGTCCCCTCCAGTCACTGTTTAACTAAAAGCCAGAATGAGCCTTTTAAAATGCTTACAAAGATTGTCATCTCTGGTAGCTTAAAATGGCCACAAGTTCATTGATGGTTTCCCATTGAGAGGTGAGAATCTATGTCCCCACTCCTGGAATAACAGTGGGCTCTGTGACTGAGAATATTGGCAAAAGTGACATCAGGCCAGTTTCCCAACACAAACTCTAAAGAAACTGGCAGCTCCTACTTCTTGTCTCTTGGAATGCTCCCTCTAGAAGACAGCTGTTATATAAAAAGTCCAGCCCTCCCGAGACTGCTATGTTTTGTGTAAGACCAAAATAGTCAAGTGAAAAGCCTGCTTGGCAAGAGATGCCTGAAAGCCCCCAATATGCCAGTCATCCCAGGCCAGGAACCAGGTAGTGAATGAAGAAGCCTTCAGATGTCCCCAGCCCCAGCTGCCATCTAACTGCAAGAGTATAACAGACTACAAACAGGGCACAGGAGACAGTCAACACTCAAACTAGAAGAAATAATAAAGTCCTGTTTTAAGCCATTCAATGTGGAGTGATTTTTATGCAGCAGATAATCAGAAATATCATCTCTGTTGACAATCCTCATGTGGTTTTCCATAGTGATTAGAATAAATCTAAACTTCTTCCCCTGCTTACTCAAGTCCAGCACAGGCGGACCCCTGTCTCCTTCTGTAACCTCTCCCCTCATGCTCTCCTTTGTCCACTAGGGTATGGCCAAGCTGTGAAGAAGCCAAGTTCCAACCAGCTTTAGGAACTTGCAGTGAATTCCCTTTTCTTGTCATTTAGAACATGTGCTCTAGGCCAGGTGTGGTTGCTCATGCCTACATTCCAAGCACTTTGAGAGGCCAAGCCTGGAGGACTGCTTGAGGACAGGAGTACAATACCAACCAGTATATACCAAGACCAGTCTCTATTAAAGAAAAAACAAAAAAAACAGAAACATACACACACAAAACATGGGCTCTAGTGCACCAGTTTCCTACTATGTCAAATGGGGATAATCTAATAGTAATAACTACATTAAGGCTGTTTTGAGAATTGAGTGATGTAAAGCACTCCACACAATGCCTGACATATAACAGACACTCATTAATGCAGCTATTTTTGTCATTCAGCTTTCTGTTAACTGTTATCTCCTCAGGGTCTCACTCAGCTGCCCAGGCTAGAGTACAGTGGCAGGATCACAGCTCATCACATCCTTGACCTCCTAGGCTTAGGTGATCCTTCTGCCTCAGCCTCCTAAGTAGCCGAGACTACAAGCATGTGCCACCATGTTCAGCTTAATTTTTTATTTTTTTGTAGAGACAAAGTCTTGCTATGTTGCCTAGGCTGGAAATACTGTACCTTGAAGAAGTACTTTAAAAAAAATTTTTGGAGAGTTGGGGGGGTCTCATTATGTTGCCCAGGCTGGACTCGAACTCCTGGTCTCAAGGGATTCTCCCCTCTTGGCCTCCCAAAATGCTGGGTGTGAGTCACTGGGCCCTGACCAAGACACTCATTATCCTACTTTAACTTTTTATATAGCACGTCTACTTGATAATTTTCTTCTTTGCTTATTATCTTGTCTCTTTCAACGAAAATCTAAGGTCCAGGAGTGAAGGACTTGATCTTGTTCACTACTTAACCTCAACTCCTAGAGCAGTACCTGATAATAGTTTTCCTCATATAATAAAACAGGAATGGAACTCATACCTTACACTTTTTCCTTTCTAGAAGGCAATCATAGGTATTTGGGAGGGGCACAAGAGGGTGGGGATTAGGAAGCCTAAAACATGTAAGAATGTATAATACCATGTTCTTTCTAACATAGTTAACCCAAGACTATCCAATTGGTAATGATATCAAGAGTCAAATAGATACTTTTTTTTTTTTTTTGTTGGAGTCTCACTTTGTCACCCAGACTGGAGTGCAGTGGCTGCTCTCGGTCACTGCAGCCTCGACCTGCTGGGCTCCAGCGGTCCTTCCGCCTCAGCCTTCCAAGTAGCTGGAACTACAGGCGCACGCTACCACACCTGGCTAATTTTTTGATTTATTGTAGCGATGAGGTCTTTCATAGAGATTATTCCTATGGGACGCCACTGACTGAAAGTATTCAGGCTTACAGTGCTCTGCAATACTTGGTATACTTATGTTTATTGTTTAATGTCTTCTGCATCGCAAGGGGACTAGTTGTAACCATTCAATTATGCCATAAAAGGGCAGATACTTTCTCCATCTATTTCCATATCATAGCAACTAAAACTCAACAGGGTCATATAAGGCAGGTGGGCATATGAGATAAATATTTTCTTATTGAAGAAGAGTGGAAAAAAGAAATTCCTGGCTATCAATAAGGTACCAGAGAAAGATGAATTTTTGAATAATTATTTTTAAAACATGGTAATTATATAGTAAATTAGCTAAGAAAGATGCATACCCACTTTTTTTGCAGGGCTCTTAAGGCACACCATAAAACTCTTTCTCCTCCTCCACCAGCATTGCAGTATGGATGAAAAAATGCAATCACCATTTGAGTTTTCCCATTTTTGCTAGTTGACATGGACTTTTTCTTCTTCTGTAGGAGCAGTCTGATTCCCCAAAGGACAATGACGAAACATGCACATAAAGTTCCACATACAATTAGCCCAGGGAAGAATAGTGAATAAAAAAACCTGAAATAAGAGGGGGAAGTTGGAAATTAATATAATGCCCATTAAATAAAAAGGACTACAAATTAAAGTAACTTGTGCATACCTACTTTACATTTTAGTAACAAAGAGAATTGTAATTTGTAAGTCTGCTAACAAAATACTCAAGTATTAAAAGTCTTTCAATCACGAAAATACTAATGCTACCAAATTCCAACATTGAAAGTATAAGTCCCCTTTAATTCCAATCTCCATAGCATGCTAGCAATTTGATATACTTTAATCAATAATAAAAGTCAACACTGAGACACCTTTCTCCTAATTCAGTGTGTATGTTAGGAGCTTAAACCCAAATTTAACTATTAACCTAAACAAGACATGATTAGAAACAGCATCCAATGCTTATAAGAACAAAATATAATCCTAAGAAATGCATCTTTTGAATGATTGATAGTCCATTAATTAAAAGTTTGGAGAGGTTGGGGGTGGTGACTCACGCCTATAATCTCAGCACTTTAGGAGGCCAAGCAAGGGGACTGCTTGAGCCCAGGAGTTTGTTTGAGACCAGCCTGAGAAATACAGCGAGTGAGACTTCTTAAAAAAAAACAAAAACCATTATACTCAGTGATTTATCACAGAAACAGAGTACCACATGTTCTCACTCATAAGTGGACCTTGGAAGAATTATCATAATATTATAAGTAAGAGACTGGCAGTAGTGGGGAACTGCCAGGGGAAGGGCGTAGGATTGGCAGTTGAGGGAAACTGCCAGGAGAAAGAAGGGCACATCTCATCAACAAGGGTACCTGCATAATGAACATTTATATACCTAACCCTGACTTGTGCCCCACATCTTTAAAATTAACTGTTTTAAAGTTTTAAAAAAGTTTGGTGAGATAGTAAATAATGGTTATTCTCTCATTTCACCTTAAGTAGAACAATTTTTGAGGTAAAGGAATAGAACTTAGATGTGTCCAGTTCTATTTCCAGTTCTGCTTTCGACCTGTTTACATGACCTGATACCACCTTCCCTTATGTACCTCTGAACAAGCTGCCAAAAATCCACTAATGTTCTACTTAATGCACATTAGTAAACCCATTCACAAACTGTTACAAGTTTCTCTATTACTGTCAGTTGATTAAAGGCTCTGCAAAACCAAGGACCCAGCTTGCTCATTACTGTATCCCCAATGTCCAGGATAGTGCTCAGCACAGAGAAGCCATCCAATAAGTATTTGTCTTAATGAAAAATTTTATTACCTCTTTAGATGTCTCTTAAAATATGTTAAAGTAAAATTTCAAGGTATGTTTTTCTTTTATGGTTGGCCAATATAGTTGGTACCTAATTTAATATTTTTTATACCCTGAATTTATAAGAGATTTGAGAAACTTATAAGATATAAAAACAATAAAATACCAAATGTTAAATAATAAAAAGCCACGGCCAGAAAAAATAGAATAAAAGATGGTGCGTATGTTAGGGTGGGGCTGATGGAGGACACAGACATCTACAAGTTTATATATAAAAGCAGATAGGGTTCTGGGCTGCTTAGTGACCAGAGCAAACAGGATATTTTATGTAGTTACATAGTTTTCATTGTCCATCAATAGAAAGCATACAAATTACTCAGAGAAATATTTTATTGATCATTAGGGTTTACAAGTCTTTTTTTCTAATACAGAGACAGGATCCCAATATGGAGTCCCAACTTGGTCTCAAACTCCTGGTCTCAACTGATCCTCCAGTCTTGGCCTCCCAGTGTTGGGATTACAGGAATGAGCCACCACACTCAGCAGATAGTTTTGAAATAAATTTCCCATGTGGGATTTCCTACTGTGAACAAATCTTCAAGAGGCATTTCACTTATAAAATAATTTGGTCTCAGAACACTCTTAAAAATTACTGAGGGCGCAATATAGTTTTTGTTTACATCAGGATAAACAATAGCATCACTTCTGACATTTTGGACCAACGAATTCCTTGTTTGCGTGTTGGGAGCCAGCCACAGAGGCCCACTGGGTGTTAGGGATCAGGAAGGGCCATTGACCCTGAGACCACTAGGATGTGTTTGGGAGTTGTTGACCCCATTTTTTTTTTATTGACATAAAATAATTAGGAAAGGCTTTTGTTGGCTTTGAAAGAAAATTTTGAGACTAAAATATATATAGTTAAACCTGGGAGTCTATTGTTTTTATTTTTTGATTTCTTGTAGAGATGAAGTCTCACCAAGTTGCCCAGTCTGGTCTCAAACCCCTGGACTCAGGCAGTCCTCTCACCTCAGCCTCCTCAAGTGCTGGGATTATAGGCTTGAGCCACCAAGCTCCTGGTCTGAATCTAAAGATTTTTAATAACAATTCCTTCAAAGGATTCAGGTGGGAAAATTAATGTGATAGGCTTTACAAATTTAACTATTTAACTTAAAAATCAGGAAGCTGGGCTTGGTGGCTCACACCTTGTAATTCCAGCACTTTGAGAGGTAGAGGTGAGGGGATTGCCTGAGCCCAGGGTTTGAGACGAGCCCAGGTAACTTGGAGAGTCCTTGTCCATACAATAAATCAAAAAATTAGCCGGGCATGGTGGTGCGCATCTGTTGTTCCAGTTACTTGGAAGGCTGAGGTGGAAGGATCACTTGGACCCAGCAGGTCGAGGCTGCAGTAGCCATGAGTGTGCCACTGCACTCCAGTCTGGTCAACAAGAGTGAGACTCCAACTAAAAAAAAAAAAAAAATTAGCTGGGTGTGATGGTGCGTGTAGTTCCAGCTACTTGGGAGGTTGAGGCAGGAGGATCCCTTGAGTCCAGGAATTTGAGACTGCAGTAAGCTATGATTGTGCCACTGCACTATAGCTTAGGTGACAGAGCAAGACCCTGTCTCTAAAAAAAAAAAATAAAATAAAAAAATACACACACACACACACATATGTATATATATATATATTTAAAATAAAATAATGATTATAGAATTTGACGTAGCAGGGACAAAAATTAAGACAAAAAAATTAAGACAAAAATACCTGAACTTTGGGGAACGTATGCATACACTACTATTCAGAAAGCCATGGTGTTAATTAAAAATTTTCAACCTAAACAAAAATGTGTAGGTGTTAAAAGAACGAGGTAAGTAGAATATACTAGACCTTATGTTTTATTAGTGTAGGGCAAGGCATTTAAAATACAGTAGTATTACAACAACAAGGTGGGAAAAAGTCTGGAGAATTTTCACCAAAATGTTAACGGTGGCTATCTCAGGATGGTAGTATTCCTGTGGATTTTTCCTTTTATTCATCGATTTCCTAACTTTTCTAGAAGAAACAGTATTATCCATGTAATACAAATACGTAGATAAAAATGATGTAAGCATCAACCATAAAAAAATATAAACCAATGTTTGATCAAGAAGCAGAGGATTCAACATAAGCTTTGTATTTAAGTGACTTGTTAACAATGGCAGTTTTAGTGCGTTAAAGAGGAAAAGCTAAGCGATGAGAAGGACGATCTGGTTTCTTATTTCCCGAAAAGAGGCACGATAGATTGGAGAATCTCTCGTAGCCCAGTCGTAAAGAAAAACTAGGAATGAATATGAATAATTTATTGCCCTAAATTAGGCTAGACTGAAGAAGAGAACTAAAAAGCTGCAACAAGGGAAAAAATATTCGATTCCTCAGCCATCACTGCGGCAGTCGAAGAAAATGCGGTAAACTGAGTCTTTAACATCTAATCGGCTCCAGTCCATCTAGGAGAAAACAAAGGGAGAGGAACACTGCTCTGAAAACTGGCCTGAGAAAACACTTTAGATTCATGACAAGGAAGGCCATCTCCGCGCAAACTTTAGCTACACGTGGTGGGCAAGTACCAGCAGGGAACAGAAAACGCCTGAGTCCACACACCACCCGCTCCTCACCTCAACAGCTGGCCCAAGCACCAAACCCCTCCGGCCGCCGCCATCTTCCGCCGACCCCCGAACTCAGGAAACGCTTCACCGTTCCTCTTCTCTATTGGCTCCTGAAGAAGCGTGCGGTGCTCTCCCCGCCCCCATAGTCTGATTGTGCATTCCAATTGGTTCCCAGTAGCTGCTTCCCACGGCCTTCCAACCAATAGAATCTGCCGAGGCGTGCACAAGTTTTCGGCCTGACGCTCACGGGTGCCACCCCCTTGGGCGGGACCGTAGGGGGAGTGGA